TTAGTCAGCATCGAGCATCTAGAGATGCAGATTGGCATTTCTGGTCCCTAAAAAAAAAAATAAAGCCCAGCTGCTCAGGTTTTGTGTCTGGCACCACTCAGATCTTTGAAAGAGAAGCCCAGGAACAAGAGGACACCTTCAATAAAAAGAGGTATCTGCTGGTTTGGTCCCTCATCCTCAGGACTACCCAGCAGCACACAAAACTAGACCTTTCTGGCCGATACACCCAGTTTCAGTGGCAAAAGCAACAGAGCAATGAAGCGAGCTCCGCTTAGCCACTGGATTTCAGTTCATTACTCCAATACCAAAGAAAGTGTAGAGGGTAACAAAAAAACCCACAGAAAAAAAAAGTAATTGGCGCAAGACAACGCTAAAGAGCAGATTTGGTTTCAAGCAGTTTCGGTGCTGCTGCCTGTGCCCAGTGCAGGAGCAGCTCTCGACACTGAAGCCAAAAGGGCTGAGCGGGACAGGAGAGCCATGATCCCAAAGAGCATCCCTAACTCAGCATCAACACCCTGCACCGCACGGGCAAAGCCGCTTCCCAGCCGCCTTCACCTCTTCCAACACGTGGAGGTTTTATGGTACGAGGAAAGCAGATCAGGCTGGGGAACGCTCTCATTTTCACCTCCCTTCGTTGGAGAAAAAGCTCAGACAAGGGGACCTTCGTGCTCGGCTGCAGACCAATCCTCCAGCCAGCAGCCCCACGCAGCTGACATGGGCACAACCCACATTATCCCCACTCAGCTTGATGACTCCATCTCAACGGTCACATCTATGCCGTGCCTCCATCACCCTCTTGAACAACTGCATGCTGCAGGAGAGACTCGATGGGAAATTTGCACAGTAAATAGCTTTTAGGGGGCAAAAGCTTCCAAGCCACGTGTATGGGGGATGTGGCTGGGAATACAACAGCTCATTCAGGACCCAAACCCGCTCGATGGCCCAACGAGTCAAAACATCAGCAGAAAGTTGGTGGATCAACAGGCATTTGGGTCCCGAAATGGGGTGACACCTCGAGACAGTCATGATCTCGGGTTGCGTGCGGTGCCACCCTGCTGCCAGCCCTGAGGGGAGGCAGCGATAAATCTAAAAAGTAAAATTAAAAAAAAAAAAGACAAAAAGACAAAAAACCAGCTAAACGCAGGGCACTTGACCCTGGTAGAGAAGAGCAAGAGCAGAGCGATGCAAGCGAGCAGGGACCGACAGTGCCAAATTCATACTCTGGGAACCATTTCCAAGCTAAACCAGCAGAATTTGGTAGAAACGGCAGCTGGGTCCATGGTGATGCCCTGGCACAGGTCGGGGACGGGCTACACAGCCCGCTGCCTTTCCCGAAGGTCAGCCGCACCCTCCGCCAACCAGTACTGGAAAGTCGCTCGCGACATTAAAGAAGGGAAAAAAAAAATTATAAACCAAACCCAGAAAGACAAATAAACTGGTCTGGAAGTTTTACCGTAACTTTGCAGAGAGGAGGAGCCCATCTCCTGCCCCTCTCACTGTAAAAAGGACCAAGTTACTCTGAGAAAACCTGCCTGTGAGGAGAGTACTGAAGAGCAAAGCAAGTTTCTGCTTCTTGCAACACGACCTGCTCTTTCAGTTGGTTTGGAGTTTGTGAAACCGAGAGTCCGGGGCTTACCCTGCTCAGCAGTCACTTCACTACATCTTGAGAGCAAAACGCGGGCAGCTGAGCGTGCCAAAACAGCAGCACCAGCACATCTGGTCCCCACAAAGGAAAATCCAGCAGCTATTCCTGCAGTCAGCGCCGACCAGAGATTGCGACCATCCCCAGCAGCCACGGTTTTGCTCCAAGCAGATGAAATCCCCCAGGTTTCTGAAAGCCCCGAGCTGAAGTAAGGCAACATCGTGCCAGTTTGAGGTGAGGGCATCGGGGCAGATGGTGGAAACTACCTCGCTGCAGCCGGCGAGTGCCCAAAGCCCACGCCAAGCAAGGGAAACCACGACCAACGCCAGCCTTACGCAACCGCTGCCGAGCCGCTATCGCTCAAAAACCAAGCGGCCGGGCGGATCTGGGTTTGCTGCATGAGTGAGAGACCCACCAACTATTGATTTGAACGTACTTCCATCAGGCTGGAAAGGCATTAACTCCTTGTGTGGCTAAAGGGAGTCGCCCAAAATTTCGAAGATGAGGATGTCAGGTGAAGAAACTCTGGCTGGCAGCCAAGGGAGCATCCTGCCAGCTCACGAGCAACCGGGAACGTTGTTTGCTCGTACGCTCAGCTTGAATACACACACGCACAAGCAATACACACGCGTGTGTGCTCAGAGTCTCAGCTTCATTTTGCAAAGCTGCCGTTGTATTCCCCTACAACTTTATATCACTCTTCACCCCTCCCTTCCCTCTCTACCCACCATTCCCAACGGACCTCCAGGATCCCAGCTGGAGCTCTCTATCTCAAGCTCCCCATCAGCATCTCATCTTCCAGACATGCAGCAGCACTTGTCTCTCCCAGTGGGAAATCGGTGCTCGGGAGCACCCAGCCAGCACCGTGCACGGACCCTGGCTGCTCCGCCGCTGCTCAAAGTTACCCTTCGCCTTCAAAGCGGTGAGGTTGTTTCCCAGCTAATGCTCTCCCAGCTTTAGATTATTTCTTGTTTACTCGGATTCCTGTCGAGCCAGCACCAGCTTGCTAAGATCCACCTTGAGTTCAAGAGCAAGTGCACTCCCCG